GGAGTAATTTGGATATATATCTTAAGTTCAGCAATGTAATGTCAATAATAGATTAAGCCATACTTGAAAAGGACATACATACTTTTTACAGTATAGTATATCTTACATAACACCAGATTCCATCAAAGAGGAATCTACAGAAAGAATAAAATACCATATTTATTAAAATGAAACACTTATATTTGATAAGTAACATTATTAATTTATATAGGTTAGAGCACCATGGTTGTCGATTTATTTGTGCATAAAATAGAATCATAGAATCATTATGCTTGGAAAAGACCTTTAAGATCATCAAGTCCAACCACTCTCTAGCTCTACCAGGCGCACTTCTAAACCATATCTTTAATCACCATATGCAGATGAAAAGAGAATGGGAGCTATTTTGCTTCTGTTCACAATACATAATATTATTATTTTGTGTCTGAATAATGATAATACATTTTATTGTGTAAAAGTTTGCATTTTCAAAAATGTTCTGTAAAATTGCCTGTGCAGTTTGTATAAGCTCAGCTTAAATGGCTGAAAATATGCATGCATGTAGGCAGAACACTAATGAATATAGGTTATCAACTATGCACTCTAATACCTTCAATGAGTTTCTGTCAGATTAACAACAATAAACATAGAAAGTTTTGAAGATTGTGGCTCAGAACATCACAAATTCCTATAATGTGTATTTAATCCGTGGAACACAGGAACAATAAGGAAATTAAATCCATCTGCGCTGGTTAGTGTTTGCCACTGACGTGAATGGAAATAGGATGAATCATAGGATTGTCCACTGTTAAAACTGACTTGGCAAGATGAGATTCACTACTTTGATAGCCCTGAAGAGCCAGGGCATCTCTAGGAAGAGCTTCCAAAGACATTGATATCCTGGTAGAGAAGGTAGGGAGAGGAGTGGGAGAGGTGAGAGCTGAAGTGCGAGAGTTGAGGGCTAAGGGTTTGCTAAACCTCTCTCAGCCCCCAACAGCATTTAGCCTCTAAAATATGCAGGCATGAACACCATGTCCTATCCACCTCCTCTGGAGGGACTGACTCCTTCCAAACAGTGTCTGTCACTCTTTTACTTGTTGCTCCATTTCAGAGAAGAAGTAAGTTCCAAAGAAAGAGAGTTACCAGCCAGTTGTCTGGTAAGGTTTGAGTAAAACCAATGGGCAGACAGGCACTGCTATAATCAGGTTTATGTGGCTTTTGATTGCTCTTATCATTGTTTTATCAAAATCTTTTCCTTTCACCTTGGCAAAACTACCATATCAAGACCATAAATATTAGCACATGGATAATTAAATAATAATGAAATAATATAATGAAAGTATATTTACAGAATGACTGGACTTGATCTCAGAGGTCTTTTCCAGCCTCAATAATACTGTGATTCTGTGAAATACGACTGAAGCAGTTTTAAAGTTGGGATGGCTATTCGGTGTGTGTATGCGTGGTTCTTTTACTGTTGGAAGGGATTATGCCAGTGTGATGCAGATTAGCTGAATTATAGTCTCCCTTTCTTTTGTGTTCATAAACATGTAACAGCCACCGCACAACTATTTTTTTCTGTATAGCAAAAAGCGTAGCAAAACAACAAATCAATCAACTCACCATCCTTTTCTTTAAGCTGTCATTTTCGTATCACTTTTGAAATGCTACTCTTCATATGTAATTATCTTCAGCCATAAAAAAGAAAAATTATTAATTTTCTTGCCAAGTAAAGAGTATTTTTAATTAATATTTGACATCAGTTAAAGGCCAATATTCCTTGTCCACAGTGAGAGGAAACTAATAAGAAGGTCTTTCTGCTTTTGGCAGCTAAGTAGCATAACAGACTTCAGTTTCTTTGTGCTTCACTTTGGTAAGTTATAATGAAGAAACTAATTTATGATCATGCTTTCATTCAGTGTTTTAATTCATCATTGACTGAAAACTGATTTTTTGCACAAAAAGTAGGTTCAATTACTTTCTTAAAATTCATTAAATGATAGTTTTCCTAATTCACTGATGTCCATAGCAAAAAATATTCCTAACTTGGTAATGCATGTAAAATTAAGAAGTTTGATTATTGACTGCATTGATGAATTAGAAGAGACATGGTTTTGAGAGTGTTCAATACTATCAGTAATATAAAGAGATGCTAATCCTCTGCCAATAAATATTCTTTTCCAGAGACTGAAGGGCAATTTGTTTTGTTCCAGGTTCTCCTTAGCATTGCATTCACAGTAACTACTGAAGTGTTTTAATACACAGATAAATCAGTGTATTTCATAATTACTTAAATATTGTATGTATATTTGATAATCCCTCATATATTGTATGTGTTTATGATGCCAAAGAAAGGCTCTTTAGGCTTTCTCTGTTTTTCACCACCCCTCTTTTCTTTGAAGTCAGATGCTTTTTATGAAGATACTGACTTTTACGCCACTGCTGTGTTCTGATTACAGAAGAGCTTTAGATGAACTATTCACCAGAGCTAGGAGTTTTAGGGTACAAGAACTTCTGTTCACAGATTGTCCGATTTGAATTTGATCGTCAGTTATTAAAGCAAGAGTGTACGGCTTCTATATTGAACCTGGAGGAAATAATGTTGCAATGGAGTAGCAATTCAGGACCACCTAAAAGGAGATTTCTGCACAGGCTCAAGGGAAGAGAGATGCCTGCAGCCAAGTCCTGCTCATGTCTCCCACATTCTTTTGTTCGATAACCAAGTTGTGATTTTGAGGATGTCTTTCGGTACCGTTTGGGAGCTGACAGCAATTAGTCTGTCTATCCTGTCTCATCCCTCTGAGTCACTGGGATTTAATCACTCTCCTTTGTCCTCTGTCTCCCAGCATGAGTGTCCTGAGGAGCTTCACATTAGGTGCATTTATATAGTCATTAGTAAAGTTTCTTTCTTCTTTAAAAAAAACCCCAACAAACACAGTATAGTTTCAGTTGAAAAATATTTTCTAAGATCAGAGTCAGGAAGTACAACAATGTGTTAAAGAGTGCTTGGATCATTCTGCGATTCTGTGAAAGGAGAAAATTAAGGTAGAAAAGAATTAGGATTTGGTTGGCTTTTTGATTTTCAGTTTTAGATTTTTTGGAGAGGGGAGGAAGGGAGGGCTCTTGATTAATTTTTTTTGAAGGCCTAATGCATCATGAGTAGTATATGAACTTACAGAGCCCTTGCATTTTGAAAAATAAAACCAACAAGCAAATCCTAAAAACAGTAAACCAAAACAAGGAAGCAAGCAAACCCAAGTAAATTAATATTCTGATCTTTCTATACCACTTTTTTTTTCCTGCTTCATTCTCCTGTAAACCAGTACATATCAAAGGAAGAAAGTAGAATCCAATAAATAAGAAAACAACTAATAAAGTATTATGCGAAAGTATAGAAGAGGTTATAGAATATTGCTAGACAAGGACTTTTTTCTTTCTAATAGTTAAGGACAGCCTGTCTTCATCATATAAATAACATCTGTCTGTTATGGAGGAGCTATCTTTTCAAGGACTCTATTTTTACTACTTCGTGAAGTTAAAGTAATTTCTTTTAATTGGAAAGATTACAGTAACTCTCCAAGCTGGAAGTTGCTTTCTGTAGAAAAGAATATCTGTTGACTTCTGAGCAGATTAAAAAAAAAATACTTCATTTTTTGCTTCTTTGCACCCAAGAAAATATTTCAGTCCTGTTCTTCCAAGAAATTAAACTACAGGGAGAGGTGAGGTACCCAGCACTATGTAGAGTGCAAAACACAATGTATCACACAAATAATTCTGTATGCATGCAGTAGTACTTATCGTAAAACTGCTTAAATTTCTGAACTAATTAATAATTCAAACGCAGACAGTGAAGAAGAGACTAGTCTACAACATAGGTATTCCATAGGTAATAAAATACTTTTTCAGTGGTAAAGAATTCTTAAAAAGGATATGTTAAGTGTAGTATGTCATTTTACTGATGTAGATGATGAAAAGCATCAATATGAAAATCTTTTTACTTCTCAGCCTCAGGTTATTTTCATTAAACTGCAGCAGTTGATTCTAAGGTATGAAGTGAAGGGAAAACACAGCTTGACAATGATTGTTTAATACTCTATTAGAAGCTAAAAAAAACAGATTGTAATTCTGGACTCCTCATTTCGTGTCCTGGAAGTTGTAATGCTGATGCTCGAAAACTGTGTTACAGCCTGAATCCTAAATGCTTCAGTCAGCTTCAAATGTAGTCAGTTAGAAAAAAAATACTGGTACTCAATATGCCTCTGGTATCCAATTTCCAGGGGTTTGGAATGTGGTTTTTTTTGGTGGCTTATTTATTTTATTCTATTTTTAAAATTTTTTTGGTAGTTTACCAGTCACGTTTTTCTGCTTTGAAACAAAAACTCTCCTTTACTGTTTTGTGAAGAGTCCGTAACAGGTCGTGAAACTGGTTACATGGGACATATAGTGAAGCTGACTCTAAAATAAGTGCTGTAAAAGACAGAAAGATAACAACAATAAGAAACGTTTTTTATATATATATAATCTATTTTAAAACATAATTGGTTAAAATAGGAGGTAAAATATCAGGCCAAGTAAAAACAGTAAATTTACTGTCCCTTTAGAGGATGTGATTGTTTCTCACTCATCTTACATTTGTGTGAACCTAGACTAACTGATCTAATGTCATTGAATATATCTCCTTGTGAAAAAAATAGTGCAAAATCAGATTATAACCTCCATGTTATTACCCAAATAATACTGGGAGAATAGATCTAATTGAAATGACAGAATAGTTATTAGTCTTTGAGACTGCCCTACATTGAGTTCATGTCTGCTATGAAGATGAACGTGTAAAATAATTTTTATAAATAAATTATATGAACATGACATTTGCTATTTTAAATTCTTTTCAAGATAATTTTTATCTTAAAGTTTGACCACACTTGTTGCAGAGATTTTTAGGTTATTTATATATCAAATTTCCAACACTTCTGTACTTGCCAAGCCAAAAAATTAACTTTACAATTGTGCTTTATTTGCAGCATCTGGCGAGGACCAAATGTAAATTGCACAGACAGTTCAGGTTATACTGCTTTACATCATGCAGCTTTAAATGGACACAAGTAAGTGCGCCACATTTAGTTTTTGTGTAGAATGGTATTTAATTGTGTAACATAGCACTGAGCTTTTTGCAGCTGACAAACCCTGACTTACTGAAATAATCTTATTTCCCATGGGATATATTTATAAGAATTTTTGACACTGTCATTGACATCAGCATGCGGTAATGACAAATGGGAAATGCCATTTAGAAGCTACTGAGTCTATGCTGTTTCTTCCAATTTCTTCCTCAATTTATTATTGCTACTGGCCAGTCGTGGCTCTAGTGCTTTTTAGCTGGTGGCAAAATGCATCAGATAATTTTGTAGTGTACTTGTGTGCGTATGTACATGTGTAGTGCATTGAATGTTTAAGGAAGCAATATTATGAAACAAAAGGACTATATAGATTAATTGTTATCAATGTAAAAGTAGCATCATAAGAATATTTAGTAGTTAAACACCTGAATGCAGAAGAACATGGTTATTACCTTGTATGGGACATCACAGCTTCTCACTCCTTGCTATCTGTCCAAGTTACCACACACATGTCTCAGGAAACTTGGGGAAAGCATGAGAATCTCCTCCTGAAGGCTGCTGCACAGACATGGCAGTGCAAGTGGGCTCTTTAAGGCATTGACGTATCACGAAAAATGTGGAAACTTTCTACGTATTTTATTATTACACTTTGTCATTTGTTCTGTGTTACCTCTGTTATTACATGTTGCCCCTTGCTACGTGCTACCTGCAGTGTATTATGCTGCCAACTGCCTGTTGTTATTAAGGCAAAGTAAGAAAGAAAGATTTTAATGAGGTCTGTAAAGTTTTAGTAGGGTGGTCCCCACTGTAACCATGGTAAGAGCTGCCCCTCTTAATGCAGTCCAGCTATCCTGTCTGTAAACTGACCGTGCTGACACTGACTGGATTTTCACTAAAAAGTATTGATATGAGGCTTTGGGTGAGTCCTCTGCGGGTGATAAGGAACTGATCAAAACACAACAGAAATCAAGAGTGTTTTGCACTAACTTTAATGTGATTTTGGACTGTCCATAAAATAGCATTTGAATCCAAAATAATTTTAGGTTTGGTTTACTCATTTCACAGTTTTTATATTCTTCCTTTTAAATAACTAAAACTTTAGGATATGTCTTTAATTGCATTCTAGAAACCTGCGTATTTTCTTTAGACCACATTAATCTCTGGGTGAATATACAATATTCTGTTTCTAATTGAATAAATGAAGTTAAAATACTGTTAAACTAGATATTGTGCATTTTCCAAAAGTTCAGTTCTGTGGCAAGATTCAGAATCATCAATTAATATGTTTTACCTCTGTGGAATTAAGTCTAAATTCTTAATACAGTCTATTAAACTAAGTATTTTTTAAAAAGGTAAAAAAAATCACAATTCTCATGTTTATATTTATGGATTGTTTCTTGTGACATTTCATGTGTTTTTCTTCATGACCCCAAGCCTCAGCTTGCAAAGATTGCTGGTTTTAAATAGATGAAAACTTGCTTTAGTATCTTTAATACTGACTATAAACCAATAGTTACCCAGCAAAGTAAAAAAATACTACTATATAAACACTGAATCTATCAGAGATTTCAACTGAATCCTAGCAGTATAAACTCTAATGTTCCAAAACATACGAAAGCCAAATAGTGTTTTCAGACACAGTGTTAGCCAAACGTCTGCTGAAGCCAGAGAGAAATTCAGGATGTGGCCTTATGTACAGCAGCAGATATAAATTCAGTTTTTGAAAAGTTTATAATGGCCACTGTCTGCTGTGACCCATTACCCTCACAGCAGGGTAAATAGCAGTTCCTGACCTCCCATTTGTAGCTTATTACATTAAAGTGAACTGAAATACATCATGAGGTATTTCACGGTGAATCAGGATGGTCCAGGACCTGCTATCCAAGCCATCGAACTGATCCTGCTACAATGGTAGCACTGTCAGCACAAGGTCGCACAGACACCTGGTGGCTGTAATTTCATTAGTCACCACAAATAACAAATAAATAGCTTAACACTGTTTCAGATTTGAAACTTGATAATTGAAATCAATATTGAGTACAATCTGTTGACACAAAAGCCTTCTCACTTAGGAGAAGTTCTTGCCCTTTGAAAACTTTTGCGGTTTTAATTTTTCACACTTTGCATTAGGATGACCTTGAGAGATTTCGAAGTTTTTTATGAAAAGTGAGAAAATAAGAATTAATGACCCAAGCAATAATTTGTGACTGGGGTACTTGTTGGACACCAGTGTTTAAGTCCCTGCTTGATCATTGTATGAGATGAATTCCCTCTTCCTTGGTTATTCTGGGGCAGTTCTCTTTCCTTTTGAAACTATTCTGCTTTATGTAAGTAATTAAATAATATCTGGGGCAGGCACTTGAATCTCAGTCTCCCTAAGTAATTTTACTTAGCCTGTAATGTTACTGGACTAAGGACTGACTCGGTCTTCTTCTCTCTGAAATTTATTTCTACAAAATGAAAAAGTTCTGACAGAGCTCTAAAAAGACTTGCCCTAGAGAAGTGTGATGGGTCAGAGCATTCTGGAAGGATGAAGGAAACCTGTGTTCTATTTTGTAGCTTGAATCCTGCAACATACTCTTTCTAATAGCTGATCTGTATTATTGTCTATAGATTTCAGTTGTGAAGGGTTTTTTCATTGTTTTTCATTTTTTTTATTTTCTTTTTTTTTCATTTTCCCTTCACTTTGTTTAATTTCTGTTGCCTTCAATCTGTGTCCCTTTCAGACTACTCCATGTCTCTAGCCTTCGTTAGACCATCTACTGCAAGACTAACTATTATTACATGAGGAGACTCTCAAACTTTATTTGTACTAAAAAGTTTCTCTTGGGAGTCAGTTTTCTAGAAAGAAGGAAAAGTCTTTATGTAGTGGAACTGTTCTTTCTTGATTCATTTTGCGTTATTTGACCTTGTAAGGAGTAAGCAAAATCCAGCTTAAAGTCTCCCTCAAAGCCTAGATGTGGTGACTGCAATATCTGTGTAATTTCTTTTGAAAACAGTTGGGAGTTCCTTTTGACCCATGTACTCACTTTTACTCGCCTTATTGCTCTCTCAATAGGCCAGTAAATAAAGTTCCATAGTTATCTCAGAATTTACTTTCTGTCTTAGTTTATAGTCAAGACCTTCATTTTTAGGCATAACACAGTTTGCACTGAGCTCCCTCCCCATCGTGATTTTTTTTGAGCCAAATCAGTAAGATCCAGTATTTCCATATTCAGCAAAAATGTGCATAGAACTGCCCACACTGGATCATAGATGCCATTAACTTAATAACTAACTTAATAACCTAACTGTGTCAAACTATAAGACAAAGTGAGAGATAAGATAGAATTTATTTACTTTCTGACATACATCATAGCATGATCACAGTTGATTTTGACATTTATTTAACTTTTGAAGTTAAGACTGCTTAAAAAACAGGGATGCAATATACCAGCTTATACTAATCTTTCATTTAATGTATGGTAAGCCACCCTGAAAGTACTGAAAGGAGTATAGTAAGAATAAAATTAATGAAAGTCACTTTTTTTTTCATCACTACTCTCAGGAAACTGGATGTAGGAAATGAAAACAGAAGCAGTTATTCCACAGATGATAATATATGGCTAACTAGATCATCATTAAATTGTTTCCTCCATCTTTGAGATAATGCCTTAAAGAAGAAGAGAAAATGTTAGTTCACCTTACCGCAAGAACCATGACCATAAAGCTACCCTCTTGTCTTCCTGCCTTCAGAACTCAGCAATGGAGGAGACAGGAGGACTCCTCTTTCGTGCCTGGAGGTTTGCCTTGAGGGACATGCACGTGGCCTGGACTGGCAAATTCTAAAACTGGTTCCATGGCCAGGTGATCCTGTTCAAAGAAACAGGTTCAGGGACATGATGATAATATTGTTGATGAGTATTCATAAGAAGTAAGAGTCATTGCAATTAGTAACATTTTGTCTAAGTTTTATTACCTAATTCATTCTTAGAATTTATTGGTTTTCATTTTTCGTAGCTGTTTTGCTTGAAATTCAGGACTTTTTTTCTGTTATTTAGGGTAAACATTTTGGTAATATATATGTTCATGTAAAAACTTAATAAAATAAGCTTCCTGTCAATTTTTAGATTTACTTCCTGTTTTCCAGGGATATAGTTCTCAAATTACTTCAGTATGAAGCATCAACTAATGTGGCAGATAACAAAGGCTATTTTCCTATTCACTTGGCTGCTTGGAGAGGAGATGTAGACATTGTGAAGATTCTCATCCACCATGGGCCATCACATTCCAGAGTGAATGAACAGGTGAAGTGATAAAAAATATTTGTATGCATTATCAGAAAAGAACAACCCGTATTCTTTAGGTCCGGCAAATTTATAGCTAAGTTAACAAAATCTATTTTCTATTGTTTCAGTAATTCTCCAAGACTAATAAAATATTTCGGTTTAAGCATACCAGATCACTTTCTCACGGATGGGCACTGTGACCTAAAGGATATTAGATTTTAAAAGTGTGAAAAAACCTTCTGCTTGTTTCTGAAAAATTGCATGAGAACATACTCTCACTATGCGTTGACACGAATTTGCATAACTTCTGTGTCTTTTTTACTTTGTTAGATAATAAATTCCTGAAAAACTTTGAAATAAAATTAATATTCTTGGTATATTTTGAGTGTACTGTAAATGAACTGATATGCAGAGATAACTGACAAACCAGATGGACTGTAAGTATGCATGTGCAGCAGAAAGGACACATAAATACTAGGGAAAAATGATGAGAGTATTACAGTGGGTAAGGGCAGGATAAGTATGTTGCATTCTGTTGTCAAACATATGGCACACCTTCTGTTTTCGTTCTGTATTTTCTTATACAATCCATTTGTAGGGTTAGTATTTCAAAATAGAGAGAAAGGCGATTAAAATCTGACACCATTTATAGTCAGCTAAACTCCTTGAGGACTGGAAGTAGGCTGTGAAATATGAGCAGTAAACATAAGCTATTGAATTTGCCAGGGTAATCAGGAAGTTATGTGAATGTAAAGGTGGGAGTCAGCTCCAGATTCAGATCTAAATTTTGATGTCTACATTGCCTGTACACACACCACTTGATTCCACAGAGGTCTAATCAGTGTAATCACAGAAGCCAGCAGCATTTTTCGGGTACCCAAAAGTAAGGCAGGATTCATTTGCCTAAACACAGAAGTCCAGTACCTTCTAAGGCCCTGCAGTAAGTGAAACATTTTTGTGGGCCTGAAGGTAGGACAGAGGGTGCTCAGAATTTCGATGTCCTTGTGGAGTGGCTGATGGGCCACCCTGTAGAGTGCAGCCTAACAAATGAGTTGTGCTCTCAGTGTCTACGTTAGTGTGGCTGGAAGGCAAACCGTGAGAAAATAAGAGATGTTAGACCCCATTCTGTGGTTTGAGACGCAGATTAAGAGTTTCTCTAAGTTTCATATTCTCATCAGCCGTTGCATGTAGGATGATGAAAGCAGTTGAATTGTAGGATTACCTTTTGTCAAGGAGAAGGGTTGTTTTTCAGTTTTATTTCTGCAATAAAATAAAAAAGCAACTTTCTGATTGCATGTTATCCATTTGCTTGAAGAGATTCCTTATTCTCTGCTGACAGAAGACTGGGAACTATGCAGGAACTTCAGAGAGAACGACAGTGAAAAAGATATTTCATCAACATCAGAAAGATAAATGTAAATTCAAACCTACTTCTCCCTAGTCCCACATACACATCCAAATTTCTAGAATATTCTTGAGCTTTGTTAGATATGCAGTCCAGTCTCTCTGGTTTGATTGCTGGAGCAAATGAACAGAGATACATCTGATTCTATACCTCACTGGCTCAAAGAAGGTCTTGTCATAAGATCTCCTGCTGTTTATCCAAAAACTTGATAATGGAAAATGTGTGAGCAATCCTGACAAGAAATGTTGGACCTTAAGACTCTTAAGGGAATCTCAATCATATTAAACTTTGAAGTCAAACTCGAGCATACACAGTTCTTCTGACCTTGTAAATCCCCTGGTGTTCAACTACAAACAATGGCCACCTTTAGTACAGGGAACACAAAGCTGGAACTGACTTTCCCCTGCCAATTAGCGCTCTCTGCAGGAGTATATTATCCGTACCATGGAGTGAGGGAAATTCCATGTTGATATAAAGCCATCTCCACTCACTTCTTCAGAGTCTGTAGGTTTCTGAGGCTTTTTGTTATTTGTTGATAGGCTCTCCAGTGCAGGTGGCTCTTCATAGCTCTCATAGTTTCTCTCAGATCTGTGGAGCTGAAGCTATAGTTTATAAGAAATACTGGGCTATTTTTCTTCCTTGTTTTCCTTTGTGAGAGTTGGGGAGAAGGATAGCTGTTTTTCCTGATACATCTTCACCACAACAAATAATATACTTGTCAGACTTCTATCTTCTGTTGTGGTTTTTTTTCCCTTAACATTAAGAGTGTACGTGCTTTCAGTTTAAGAAAAGAATTTTGCTTATTATTTAAAAATTGTTGTAACTAATTTGTAATACATCTTTACTTTTCATCTACTTTATTGAAATTATCTATGAAAGAAATGCTTCCAAAAGCTTAAATATTGAACAACAACAAAGAAGTAGATGAGAAGCTCATGATGCATAAATGTTTATTACATGAATTAATGGATTTAATATGGTATATTGTAAATTAGTTCAGATGCATTCTACACATTTAGAATGCAGTTAACTAGCATCATAGGATCATACCAGCCATATCGAGCATCTAAAGCTCTCAATGCCCCCTACTGTTCCTATTACATAAAATTGAAAAAAAAACAGTAAAGTGGCAAACAGTTAAATGACAATTATTTTATGGGGGTGGTGACATGTAGACCAGCAACCCTAAACCACAGAAAATGGCTACAGCATAACAATTATGTAAGAATAATTCTGTCACTGTTTAATACAGGAGTCTTAGTTGACATGCATGGTGTATGTTTTAAATAACAAAATATGATAAAATTACAAAACATATAAGTGTTTAAGATTTATTGATGAAGAAGATATGTAAATTATAAATTGAATGAAGATCAAGTAGGTAGCATGAGATCAAGATTTGTTAGTAAATTAATATCAAATATAATAAAAATATATGCTCCTAACAGTCAAAATACTTACCGGTCTGTTTGTGTAAAGACACCTGGGTCGCACAGACGTTTATTATGGAAACTTGTCATAAAATTACATAATTCATGTCAAATAAAAAAGTGAATGACATCAGGAGTAAATATCAAGTTCAAAATATTTTTAAAATATATATATACACAGAATAGGAAAAGTGGAAAAAATTACAGGAAAAAATGTGAACACTTCGGAAATTTCTTGGTGATGTTCTCTGTTTTGTGTTTCTGCCTGTTTTTCTTTATGTACATAGCACTTCTTTTCCCTTACATTTATGTATTTCATGTACTGTAGAATTTACCTGTATGTCAGTATTTTTCTTTAAAACGCATTTTTTAAATGCTGTTTAACTCATCTTCTGAAATATGAATAAAAAGAGTTCGGAATGCATTCATAATATTTAACGTATTTACTGACTTCCTCAAATCATCAAAATGAAGCACAGATATTATGTGCTTCTTTCAGTGACACCTCAGCGACTTCCAAAAGGACAATTCAGTTCCTAAGTAGTCTGCAAAACCAATATTGTAAAATTCTGTATTTGATATTCCCTCTCACTCCTTTGAATTAGAAACTATGTGGATGAATTTCAGAATTTCACTTGCAACTCCTATTATACTCTTTTTAGAAGCAAAAATGTGCAGAAGCAATCTTTTTTTTAATTATTAGTTGAGCTAATTTCAGCAATAGATTTGAAGAAAACATGTATTCAAAGTGGTCAACCAAATTACAGAATTACTTTTTTATTATGTTTCCATGTAAGTAAAGCTGAATTTCAGTAGGAACTCAGTAGATTCAATTTTGATTCACATTGGGTTATTTGTAACAGGTTTTTCTCCCAATAACATTTTCAAAAATCATCTTTTTGAAAAGTGTTACTATCTAAATTAAATATTTAAATTATGGGACAATGGCATCTTTATTTGTTATGATATTGTTCTTATATGATAATGATATTCATTGGAACATGTTCATAGAATCATAGAACGGTTTGGATCAGAAGGGACTTTCAAAGATGATCTAATACAACTTTCCCTGCCATGGGCAGGGACATCAACCCCGCTGCCGTGGGCAGGGACACCTCCCCCTAGACCAGGTTGCTCAAAGTCCTGTCCAGCCTGACCTTGAACAATTCCAGTGACGGGCAACCACTTCTCTGGGCAACCTGTTCCACAGTTGCACCATCGTCATCATAAAAATTGTCCTTCTTATATCCAATCTAAATCTGCTCTCTTTTGATTTAAAAATGTTGCTCCATGTCTTGTCACTACAGGCCATGGTAAATAGTCTCTCTCTGTCTTTCTTTCAAGCCCCCCTTATATATTGAAAGGCCACAGTAAGATCTCACTGAAGTCTTCTCCAGGCTGAACAGTCCCAACTCTTTCAGTCTGTCCTCATAGGAGAGGTGTTCTGGGCCTCTGACCATTTCTTTGGCCCTCCTCTGGACCCGCTCCAACAGGCCCATGTCTTTCTTGTACTGAGGACCCCGGAGCTGGATGGGGTACTGCAGTTGGAGTCTTACAAGCAGAGTATAATCATAGAATCATAAAATCATAGAATGGCCTAGGCTGGAAGGGACCTTAGAGATCATCTAGTCCAACCTCCCTGTCATGGGCAGGAACGCCTCTCAACTAGATCAGGCTACTCAAGGCTCCATCCAACTTGGCCTTGAACACCTCCAGGGAGGGGGCAGCTACAACATCTCTGGGCGATTTATTCCAAAGTCTTGCCGCCCTCATACTGAAGAATTTCTTCCTAAGGTCCAATCTAAATCTGTTCTCCTTCAGCTTAATCTCATTTCCCCTTGTCCTGTCAGTGGACACTCTTGTAAAAAGTCACTCCCCAGAATCACCTCCATCAACCTGCTGGCCATGGTTTTTTTTATGCAGCCCAGGACAGAATTGGCTTTTTGGGCTGTGAGCACACGTTGTTGGCTTTTGTCCAGTTTTTCATCCACCAGTATCCCCAAGTCCTTCTCTATAGGGCTGCTCCTAATCATTTCATTACTGAATCTTTACTGATATTGGAAATTGTCCTGACCAAGGTGCAGTACTTTGTACTTGTCCTGGTTGAACATCACGAGGTTCACATGGACACATTTCTGAAGCATGTCAAGGTCCTTCTGGATGGCATTCCTTCCTTCTAGTGA